TGTGTGTGTGTGTGTGTGTGTGTGTGTGTGTGTGTGTGTGTGTGTGTGTGTGTGTGTGTGTGGTCTTTCTGGAAGGAATGGAGTCACAGAGCTGGCAGCAAGTGGAGAGACCCAGGGGACTGAGTGGTTGGGCTGCCACAGATGGTTTGAGATGCTGAGTTTGGGGAGCCAACATGACAGAATTAACTTTGACAGATTCTTGGCCTCCAGGGCAGGGTGGGTGGGTGGTGGGGGGAGTAAGACTGGCTGATCTTTGGCCAGGCTAAGAGAGTTATGACCTTAACACCAGGGAAGGAGGGAATCCAGTCACCTTGATTTTTTTGTGGAGATGAGGGGCAGATAGAGTCCTGTTAGCCCCTCCCATGCCTGTCATGCAGCGCTTGGTCATGCAGGGTTTGGGTGATGGTCTTAATAGGAATTCTATAGGACTCAATGACTTTTCTGGGCCCGTGGACTCTTTAGTGATGGGGGCCATAGATGGGTATGGGAGCATCTTCAAAGCTGACACACCACCTGCATGGGGGGAGTAGAATCAAGAGCAGTGGAATCTTCGAGGCTTAGGTGGTTCAGTGGCTCACCAGGGTTCTGTCTTTCTTTGCAGGTGCCTTAGGAACCCTGAAGCTGAGTTGAGCCATGAGGCCATCACCAGAGCCCCCGCTGGAGAGGGCCTGATTTCAGGAGCGGAGTTGCCTGTGACAAAGCCTCTGGAGCGCCCATGAGGGGACACTCTTGGCTCCTGTGAGGCAAAGGCTCCGGGGCCTGGGCAGGTGGAACGGCTGGGCTGCAGCTATGGACCGTGAGCTGGCCCAGGCCCGCGTCCTTGCTGAACCTGCCCGTCTGTGGCTGCTCCCACCATGGGCTCCTTGGTGTACATCACAGTGGAGCTGGCCATTGCTGTGCTGGCCATCCTGGGCAATGTGCTGGTGTGCTGGGCTGTGTGGATCAACAGCAACCTACAGAATGTCACCAATTACTTTGTGGTGTCGCTGGCAGCGGCTGACATTGCAGTGGGCGTGCTTGCCATCCCGTTTGCCATCACCATCAGCACTGGCTTCTGCGCTGCCTGCCACGGCTGCCTCTTCTTTGCCTGCTTTGTCCTGGTCCTCACGCAGAGCTCCATCTTTAGTCTCTTGGCCATTGCCATTGACCGCTACATCGCCATCCGCATCCCACTCCGGTGAGTTAGAGGCTTACGTGAGTACAAGGCCAGCCGTGCTGTGCCCAGGGTCTGGTCTGTATGAAGAATCTGAGCCTGGGGCTGCACAGGGCTGGCAGATGGGTGGCTGTCATACCAGTCTGGCTGGTCCTCATGGCATTGAGCAACCTGAGCTCCCCTAGGCCACCTTAGACATAGTGCTGAGTGCTGACACTGTGTGTCTAAGTTATTCTTCATATGTCAGAGCAAAACTCTTACAGGGACACTGGGGCGGAGGAGGAGCCACAGATAACCACAATACCCTGGTCAGGAACCACTTGCCACCTGCCTTTCCCTTGCTCCTCAAGGCAGGCCCTGTCACGTGCATGTTAGGAGACAGACCTAGAGAGGGGAAGTGACTTGACTCAATGCCACAGGGAGTCACTTGGGTGCAAATTATGTTGCTCCTTAGGTCATGAGTTGGCTGTGGGAGGGGCTTTTTTAATGGTGAATCTTTTGTGAAGTGACTTCAGCTAAGTATTGTGTAAATAAAGACTTCCCAGAGGCCGCATTTCCTGGGAGTAGCCTCCACCTAACCAGGCATAGATAAAATAGGAAGTACATCCTTCCTTAGGGGTGCCAGGAGCTGCCAGCTCTACCTCCTTGCTCCCCCCAACTTTTGTCTCACAGCCAGGGGATGCTGCAGGTGCTGAGGAGAGTCTCTGCGATTTGGGATTGGCGTATACTATCCCCATGGTGAATTCTCCCAGACAGGTGGAGTCTCCTGCGGAGGAGACCCTACAGTCCACTGCAGGCTGAGGACCAGGCTCAGGGAGCAAATGGAAACTCCGAGTGTCAAACCCAACAAGGCCCTTAGAAACCATTTCCTTCCTCTCATCATCTAGATGGAAAAAAATGAGGCTCTGAGGAGGGAGCCTGCACTCTCTGGACCATGGGAATTGGTAATAGAACTGGGACTAGGCCTAGGAAGAAGCAGGGCCTGCCACCCCTATGGACCTCTGTTTTTGGAGGAGTCTCCCAGAAGCTGCATCCTACAGCCATTGCTATCATTGCGCCCAAAAGGGAAGCAGGCTCAAAAGAAGCAGGCCCTGAGCTGAAACTCCAGTACTCCTTAAAAAGTTGCCAGGGGGGAAGGAAGGGGGTGGGGGAGAGATAATAGTTGAAGCTCTATGTGATAGCATGTAACTGTAATTCTGGTCCAAGAAGCAGAGCAAAATCCAGGTTTATCCAGTGACAGCTCTGAACAGAGGAGTGGAGCTGAGCCCACACAGCCCAGGAGCACAAGGAGCCGGAGCAGCACAGAGGGGAAGCAGCAGCCCGGCTTTCACTTTCTTCTCTGATTTAAAGGGCAGCTGCATTCTAGGGAGAGGCTGGGGCAGCTGTTTTCAATTGAAAGACCTCAGCTCTTCCCTCCTTGGTCTCCCTTCTCTATGTGTTCTCTGAGAGTCAAGACAATGAATCCTAGAATTAGTAGGATGGGGCATGCTGTGTGGCTATGGGAAATCAGCTGTCCTACTCTAGGCCCATTTTCTCTTCTATAATGGGGGTGTATTTGTCTGTCTGCCTAAGTTCACAAAAGTTGTGAGGGTCCACAGTGAGTGGCAGGGAGTGAATGACATGTCTGGCAGGACAGGCAGGATGAGGACTCAACTCTTGAGCTGCTAGGAATCTGGAGCCATAGCCTTTCTGGCTCTGATCTGCCTTCCTGACCCCAGGATCTTCCAGAGTTAGACCTGCGCTCCAACGGGACTTTCAGCCATATAAGTTCTGCTGAGGGAGGCTTCGGAAGGTTCAAGCTGGTCTTTGCAGGGAACCAGCAGGGATGAAGGTACTCCTCCCCCTTGGGCAGAGAGAATAGAACTGCAAAGGGTTTTTTTTTTTTTTTTTTTTGGCTGGGTGCCAGTGTCTCACGCCTGTAATCCTAGCTGCTCAGGAGGCTGAGATCTGAGGATCACGGTTCAAAGCCAGCCCGGGCAGGAAAGACCGTGAGACTCCTATCTCCAATAAACCACCAGAAAACCGGAAGTGGCACTGTAGCTCAAGTGGTAGAGTGCTCACCTTGAGCTGAAGG